CTGACACAGCGAGGGGGAGTCTGATATGTAGACATGAGTACGTCTATATGTAAATGCAGATGCTATGAACACGTGCACTTGAACCAATGTTGCCCGTAGAGAGTCAGGCTATAATAAAACGGGAGCAGGGCTGATAGCAGAGAATGCCGAGTGGCTTGCGACCCTTCCCGCCATCGTGCCTGGAGGCGGTCTTGGAGACAATGTTGGGGACCTAGAGACTTCCATAACATCCCCTGAATGGTTTCCCTGGTGCGTCTGTAGGCACATATCTAGGTGTTGCAACACGTATGTGTATACATATATAGATATACATGTATGTATAATTTGGCGATCGTGCCTTTGGCACGTCCTTAGTGGAATGCTCTAAGGCAAGCCCAAACAAGTCAGGGTATTGACCGTCTTGGCGCACGCTTCAGGGCCCCGAACTACCCGTTGCCCAGGACTCCGAGGACCCCCAAAGAATGCACGGACGCCCCCCTTTGTTCCCGGCGTATGTCTTGTGCGCATCCTGGACGCCTCTCCCGCCCACGGCCACGCCAACATCCTTCAGGACTGCCGAAGAGGGCACCAGTAAAGCACGAAGACCGTCCAAGCCAGCCCTAAGGCGGCCCAACATAGCCTCAAGCCAGCCCATGAGGCCCCCTAGACACCCCAAGAAGGCTCCAAGATGGCTAAGAGGGCCCCCCCAAAGGCCTAAACGGGGAACCCGAACTGGCATTTGGAGCCCTTCCCCCAAAGATGGCGACTGAGAGCGCCAGCAGGCCACCTGTAAGCCCCCAAGAGGCCACCCAAATGCCCTCAAGAGGTCCCAGAAGGGCCTTCCCCCCTCACGAAAAACAACAAGTCTCTTAGAGACCTCTTGGTTAGGACCCGGGCGCGGTGTAGGGATAGGCCGAAGGCCAGTGTGCATATCTCTGCATAAATAAATCTATATCTGTGCATATGTATGTCGGAGGAGCGGAGATCGGACCCCAGCGACAACAGCCTCCGCAAGCGGTGTGCACCAGAAACTGTGCGAGACAGACAGGACACAAGGCGGGAGTGCGGGTAATCATTCAACAGTGAGACGAGAAAGCTCACACCCTGGGGAACGCACGCGCTGCTAGCCAGAGAAAATACATCGCGCCGGGATGGGGAGAATTTGTCGGGGACCCGGTGCGGGAGCTAAGTTCCGCCAGTGCTAAGGAGAACTCTCTCCCAACAAGGTGTGGCTCCTTTTCCTGCTGAGGGGGGGGGGGCACAGAGGCGGACGACGAGGCGGGGAGGATGAGCAGCGTGGTTGACAAGAACGGCTGACACGCACAGCACTAGCTTGAAAGCCCTGGCCCGTGCAGGAACCATTCGGAGGGGAAGGGGGAGAGGCAGCGGGAGAGCAAGGAAGATGAGAAAAAACACACGCCTGAAGATACGGATTACTCCAGAGTTCGTAATAAAAGGGAGGGGGTCTGGACCCTCCAAGACGAGCCATTTCAGACCCCCCCTCGTGGGAGAACCCTCCAAAACATCGGCCCCAGACCCCCCAGGCCCTCCAAGATAGCCTGGAAGAGACCCCCCCCCGAAATGAGATCCCCCTCCCTTTATTACGAAATCCGGAGTACCCACAATCGCATCGGCCTGAGGCCGTCCGGCCCAAAGCCCGAAGGCGCGGACCGGCGGCAACGCAGCAACGAACACAATCTGAAAATACCGAGGGGCTGACCAGGCCCACGAGACCAGCGGAGAGCGAGCGGGCAAGAAGGGGAAGGCGGGAGGGACGGGGGGAAGAAAGAACGCTAAATGTAAGAGCGGGGCCTCTGAAAAGCAATTTGGATGAGGCGCTGCGTGCGGTTGGCCCACAACCGCCGCGCGGATATAACCGCGGAGGGCGGCGGAACACTCGCCACCCGGGAGCCCGTAGCGCCAGGCATTGTGCTTTGAAGAGCACGTAGACGCCGATCGCGCGCAAGGCGGCAACGTCCGCAGTGGCTGGCCGACTGGGAATGCGGCGGGAGGGAGTGGACACAGGGGAGGATTCCGAGAAAATCGCCCAGACAAAACTCCGCCAGGGGTGGGGTGAGGCCCAAACCTCTTCGACATAGTGCGTGGAAGGTGCCGCAGAATTTGTAGTGGTCAATGCTGTCCTCTCCGCGCCTGCAATTAACCAAAATCCCGCCATTATGCTGGAGGCGGCGTGCCGTGCGCCAGCCATTCCAGGCCGTGTGGATCCGGCACGCCTGGACCCGAGGAAGGAGAAGAGGAGCCGAAAGCGAGAGAGAATGATACCCGGGAGGGGAGGGGACCGCCGTCTATACAAACGCCGCCTAACGTGCGCGGCCGACGAGTGCAGGGCCGCAGCTCGAAACAGATGAATGGCCTTAGCTTGCCAGCCCTCCTTCTGGAGTCCAGCGGGGCTCGCTGGTTCAGGCAGGGAAGGGGTCGAGGAAGGGGAGGCCTTCTCAGCCGTAGTCCGCGCGTCGGTGGCGTCCTTCAGGCGGACAAGGAGGCAATCCTGGATGAGAGCGCTGAAGTGCGCAGCCCGGGCCTGGCTGGCCGGCAGTAGCGCGAGTCGAAGAATGCAGCGGGCGCGCGGGCAAACCCTGAGGCCGCCGCGTGCGGCATCTTCCCACCGCGCCACGCGTGCTCGGGCAGCCATCGCCGCGCTCGGAATGTCTGGCAGGCCCACGGGGAAACGACAACGAACGGATCGCAAGTCCTTCAACGCGTTCGCTGTGATCTCACTGGACGGGCCACGGAATAAGGACGCGCGAGCCTGCTCCTCTGCGCGGGCGAAGTGCGCCGGCAGCGGGATTAGCTGGGCAGCAAGGAGGAGGGCAGAATGAATACAAACTGGACACGCCAAGATGGACTGCATCATGCCGATGCCCAGCGCGCTCCACTGCGAAGCCCACCCTTCGTATTTCTTGAAAGGCATTGCCTCAGAAGAGCCCCCCCGCTCTGGCCCAACCGCCGCGCCGAGGCACTTCGCCCCCCCAGCGATGGGAAGGGGGCCCCGCGGCGGCGCCTCGTGAGAGAGCCTCGCCCAGACCGCGTCACAGCTCCAGCAGAAGAGGGGCGCCATGATCGTGTTGTGGACGTTCAGGTGGAGCCCCGAAATCCACGCGCAATCCTCGAAAACGCCCTGGGTGACCCCGATGCGGTGGAAGAGGCAAGCGCCCACCAGAGCCGCGTCATCGGCATGCGCGCGAACGCAAGCTGAAGGAACATGGCGGCCCAGCCCGCGAAGGAGGTGGTCGGGGGCCCCCGCGGAAGGCAAGGGCCCGCAAGGGCGACAATGGGCACCCGTGGCGGATCCCGCGCTTTAGCTGGAACCCATCGTGCCGCGAGCCCAGGGCGCCGCGAAACACTGGCTGCAGGCGTGGAGACAGATTCTGAGGTTCAGCAACCACGAGTGCCATTTCAGCCGCCGGGAAAACTGGAACATCAAGTCGTGCTCGATGGACGGGAAGGCCGCGGCGAAGTCAAAGAAGAGGGCGCGCCCCTTCATCCGAAATGCACGCGCCCGTCGCGGTCGCTTCCTCCACGCCCACCAAGCTAGCGTGCTCCGGCCAGCGATGAGTCCCCGTTGTTTCCATCACTTTTGGGCCGATGATGGGTTTGATCAGGTGGCGGACAGCGTTGGCCAGAATGCGGTTGTCGGTGTTTGTGACCGACAGCGGGCGGGCGCAATCCGGCTCGGAAGGATCCTCCTGCGGGCAGCGTGCTGGCGGCAGTCTTGGACAAGAGGAAGAAGAGGCCGGCGTCGAAGTCATCCTAGTCCTCCTCGACGATCTTGCCATCGGAGTCGTCCACGAGCACCCTGGCCGCGTCAAAGAGAATCGTCGCAGAGAGATCCAAGTAACGGCGCCATGCCATGACGCGTATGCCGTCGGGGCCGGGGAGTACCTGACGAATGCTCGATGGCGTAGCAGACGCCGTGTTTGCGCGGCTTGAACACACAGGCGTCTCGCCGTTTCGGCTTCCCGACGCTCCAGGACGGCCCAAGAGGCACCCAAGATCGCCCCAAGAGGCCTCCAAGAGGCCTCCAAGAGGGCTCCAAGAGGGCTCCAAGAGGGCTCTAAAACGGCACAGGAGGGCCCCAGCACGGCCCAAGAGGCGCCCAAGATGGCCCAAGACGCCCCCAAGACGGCTCCAAGAGGGGACCCCGACGGGGGACCCGAATGGACATTTCGAGCTCTCAGTCCTGGGAGGCCTCCAGGACGCCTCAAGAGGCATCCAAAAGGCCGCCAAGAGGCCCCAACAAAACCCAAGGAAGCCTTAACATATCCCAAAGAGCCTCCCAAGAAGCCCCCAAGACGCGCCCAAGACGCCCGCATACTGCCTCCAAGAGGCCCCCGCGAGCGCTCCGAAGAGACCTCAAGAAGCACCCCTGATCCACAACCCAGGTACGGTGGCGGAGTGGGCCGAGAGCCAATTGTGAACACTACATACACACACCTCTCAGTGTGTATGTAAACACATATACACATATACACCCCTACACATACAAACACACACATACAGACACACATACATATATGCATAGATGCATACATACATACAGTTACATGCATTACATGGGCGATTTCGGAAACCCTGAACCCAAACAACGTGCTGACTTCTTGGGGGCATATCTTTCACTTCCGCCGCCTTCCGCCGAGCTTCCGCCGGCTTCCGCCAGCGGAGGCGGCCTCGTTTCACTTCCCGCAACCTTCCGCCACCTTCCGCCGTGGAAGAGATGGCAATTCCTTCGATCCTCGAAGGCGAAGCCCTTTTTGAAGCGACCCCCTATACAGATGTGGACATATGCGTATAGCTGTATACACATACATACATGCATGCATACCATACATACATACATCCATACATGCATGCGTGCATACCTACATACATACATACATACATACATACATACAGACAGACATACAGACAGACAGACAGACAGACAGACAGACAGACAGACAGACATGATGTGTGTACTGTTTGTGCATCTGTACATGTATATATTTATGTGTATGCACGTCAGATGTCTGGCTCAACCCTTGCTGCACAGATCGCTCTAAAAATAGACAACGCCTTCTGCCACTGCTCGCCTTTCCCGCACGCGCTGATACTGGCACTGTAGCATACTACGTTGGGTTCAATCGCCACCTCGCACAACTGACCCAGCAGCAGTAATGCGCGCCGCCACTGCCCGCCTTTTTCACACGCGCTGATTCCAGCGCTGCAGCTGAAAACATCTGGCTCCAACTTGATCTCAAACATTTCGCCGAGCAGCTGCAGTGCCCGCTGCCAGTCCTCTCCCTTCTCGCACGCGCTGATCCCGATGTTGTAGTCGACAACACAGGCCTCCAGACTGGCACCCCGCGAGTCCCGCATTAAAGAAAACACCTGCTGCCAGAGTCCGTGCCGCGCACACGCGCTGCTGGCAACCGTGTAGCTCACGGCATCCGGCCTCAGCCTCACTTCCCGCAGTTCGCGCAGCAACAGCAGAGCCTGCTGCCACTCCCCACTGTTTCCGCACGCGCTGGCCCCCAGGGTGTAGCTGATGCAATCATACTCCAGCCGTACTTCAGACATCTCCCGTAAAAGAAGCAGTGCGTGCTGCCACTGCCCAGCTGTGTCGCACACGCGGATTCCACTGATGTAGCTGAGGGAACTGGGCTCGACCTGCATTTCCATAAGCTCCGTTATCAAAGACAACGCCTGCTTCCACATCCCAGCACTTTCGCACGCGACGAGCGCAGCATTGTAGCTGCCCGTGCTCGTCTCAATGTTCGCCTCGAACATGTCCCTCAATAGAGACAACGCGTGCTGCCACCGCGATTCTTTCTCGCACGCGCGGATCCCCGCTGTGTAGCTCAAGGTGTCTGGCTCCAGATTCACTGCGTGCAACTCCCTCAACAACAGCAACGACTGCCACCACTTGCCACCTTTCCCGCACGCGTTTATCGCAGCGGTGTAAATGATAACGTCCAGCTGCAGCGTCGTTTCGCACATGCACCTCAGTAGCGACAGTGCCTGCTGCCACTGGGCGCTTTTTCCGCACGTGCCGATCCCAAAGATGTAGCTGACTAGATTCGCATCCAGTTTCACCTGAGTCATCTGATCCAGGAATGACAGCGCATGCTGCCACTGCCCAGCGTTCTCACACGCACGGATGGCCGCATTGTAGCTGACAACATTTTGCTCTAGCATGGCGTGGCCCAGCTGATACAGCAGCAGCGACGCTTGCTGCCACTGGCCACCTGTCGCGCACGCATTGACACCAGCGTTGTAGGTGAAAACGTCGGGCTCCAATCGGATGTCGCACAACTCCCACAACAACGCCAGAGCTCGTTGCCACTGCCCCGCTTTCTCGCAAGCGGCGACTCCAGAACAGTAGCTGACTACGTCTGGTTTTAACGCTTCCTCCAACATCTCTCTCAACAGTGCCAAGGCCCGCTGCCACTGCCCTCCTTTGCCGCACGCGCGGATTCCAGTGCTACAAGCAACGGAGTCCAGATCTAACATCGCATCTGACAAGTCTTTAAGTAAAATTAACGCATGCTGCCAGCGGCCGACTTTCTCGCACGCACTCATGCCAAGTGTAAAGATGAATACGTTTGGCTCCGCCCTCGATTCCACGAACTCACTTAGAAGCGACAGCGCTCGCTGCCACTGCTTTCTTTTTGCGCACACTTTGATTGTGGATGCGAGCTGGGAAGTAGATGCCGGCTCACGCGATCGCAATGCGTCTTGTAGCGACTGCAATGCCACTCTCCATTGCTTTCCACTCCCATTGTCAGTTATAGCGGCTGAAGCAGAAAACGCGCCTGTCTTGGTCCCTTGCCGTCTCAGATGCACATATCTGTGTACCATGCGCGAGTACTGCGGTGACGCCCGAAAGAAAAAGCTATGGGCACCAACATTGGCAATAGCCTCCGACCCCTTCGCGACGACATTGTTGGCCTATGGCTGAAGGCTCAGGGTAGCAAGTCTTCGAATTTCGAGCACACGACTGGCGCCTTGGCGGCCAGTGCACGACTTGTCCTCAAGGATGAAATGATGCAACATGCACATCAAGTAAGACCCCTGCAAGTGTCCCACTGAAATTTCTTATCCCCTCGAGGCCGCGAGCATCGAATGAACGTGGAGTGTGGAAGAGAAATACGCCCTGGACTTCTCATAACCATATGTCCTGTTGGGTGTGCCTACTGCAAGTTCGATCCGCAACTCAACGGCACTCGATGTTCCCAGACCCCCGAAGTCTTGTTTTTGTTCACAACCCGAGTGGTTTTTTGACGGTCCTGGTGCCAGGTCAGGGCCCCCGCAGGCCGAAAATAGTGAAAAACCTCCCGTCGTCATTCCTTTACAACGCGAGGCGGACTGGAGACGTTCATGGTGTAGCTCGCCCCCGTAGACATCAGATCCCGTGGGTCACGGGCCGGGCGTCCCCCATCGCCGTCCGGGCTCCGCCAGCCCCGCCGTGGACAGGCTGCGCGGGGCAAGCTCCGAGCGCGCAGGTGGCACCAGGCACTGCTGGTGCTGGTGATGGTGCCGCCAGAGGAACAAGACGAGTGCGATGAATCAGGGACGCCATCGACACAAACTTTTACATGAAACGCCGCTCCTCTCAGGCGCTATCACGCCTCAAAACGACAGGACACGCGCTGCCACTGCACATCGTTCCCCCCCCGCACGGTTTCCCCCGGGGCCGTAGGCGACCCGAGGAGGAGGAGGAGGAGGAGGAGGAGAAGGAGAAGGAGGAGGAGAAGGAGAAGGAAGAGGAGGAGGAGGAGGAGGAGGAGGAGGAGGAGGAAAAGGAGGAGGAGGAGGAGGACGGGTCGCCTAAGCCCTCCGGAGAAACCCTCCAGCCCCCCCACGACAGCGCAGAGCAGACCTGCCGGCGAGGACCGCGCAAAGTTCTCTCGGATCGGCACCGGGCCCCCCTCGCGCGGAGCGCGCCAGAGGCGGTGCGGGAGGCGCCGCAGGAATCCAGCGCGCGGAATCTGGCCATTGCCGGATCCCCGGGAGGAGGAGGCCTACTCCAGATTTCGTAATAAAGGGAGGGGGGTCTCATTTCGGGGGGGGGTCTCTTCCAGGCTGTCTTGGAGGGCCTGGGGGGGTCTGGGGACGATGTTTTGGAGGGTTCTCCCACGGGGGGGGGTCTGAAATGGCTTGTCTTGGAGGGTCCAGACCCCCTCCCTTTTATTACGAAATCTGGAGTACGTACAACACTGGTCGGTCAAGGTCATGCCGTGACCTGCTCCGGGGGAAAGCGCTGAAAACCCAGAACCTGGAGCGAAACCTGAGCGTTGGCAAGACATCGAGGGGGGCCTCCAAGGAATTCCGTCCGCATGCTTTGGGAACGTCCACGAAGATTGTACCTCGGCGAGTTGCAGCGATGCTCCCCCCGTGTGCATGTCTCGCTCCGCTGGGAAAGTGTCCGCGCTTCCAAGTCAGTGGCACTAGAACGGGGATCATTTGATTTAGCTTGGTATGATTGGGCTTGACGTTACTCTTGCATGCTTTGTCTTGCCGTGCTACGCTTTGTTCTGCGCTTCTGGGTTTAATTTGCTTGGCTTGGCGTTGTGTTGCGCGGCAATGTTTTGTGCATACCTTATCTGCTTGTATCTGTTTAGTTTGAGCGCCTTTCACTTCGCATATGACCGATGTTCCGCAAATAGCTGCTGGTGTTGAGTTGCTACATTTCGGCTGCAGCGTTTTGCCTTACTTGTTCTGCTTGGTTTAATGAGAATTTGCGTGGTTCGTATTTGCGCGTCTCTGCCCCCCTGTTCAGCTCTTGTCCACTCCTTTCGCTTTGTAGTGCTGTTCTCTGCTCAGCTTCGATTCAGAGAACTTCGATTGCTCTCGTGTCTGCCTTTTTGCCTTTTTCGGGGAACTCTGCGATATTAGCACCACGAGGGTTGTATGTGAAATAGAGACCTGGTGTCATCGCCCCACTCCCCCTCTTCCCCCCACAACACACAAACACGCACACGCGCACACACACACACACACACACACACACACACACGCACACACACACATACACACACACACACACACACGCACGCACGCACGCACGCACGCACGCACGCATGCACTTAACGCACTAACGCACTTACGCATTTACGCACGCAGGCACGCACACACTGACATACATCCATGCTTGCATGCATAACACAGACAGGCATACAACCATGGAAACAAGTATGCCTATATATATACATATATATATATATACATTTTTACATGTGCATATGCACACGTGCTAAACGATGTATATGTGTACATATGTGCCTGTAGGTGTGTCTAGAGGAACAACTATATACTAGAACCACGTGCGCTTCCCACGCGCTTAGGTTCTAGCACGCCCCAGCTCTTGACAAGCTGACGCGCACAATTCTTGGGGGGCATCTCGGGGGCCCTGTGGACACAACCCGCGTTTCTTCTGGTAGCTTTTTGGGGCGCTCTTAGGGCCTCTTCGGGGTCTCGAGAGGACCTCTTGGGGCCTCTTGGAGAGCCTTCTGGGGGCCTCTTGGGGACTCCTGGCAGCCTCCAGGGGCGCAGAGCTTCAAATGTCCGTTCGGGGATCCCGTCTAGGCCCCTTCTGGGGTGGTCCTGGGGCCCTTTTGAGCGGGAGCCCTCTTGCGAGCCTCTTGGGCCGCGCTGGGACGATCTTCGGGGCCTCTCGGGCCGTCTTGGACGCTGTGAAAACCCAAGAGGCGAATATGGTAAGAATGCACGTTTTCTGGAGGGAATGGGGCAATTCTTGCCTCTTGGGGCTCTCTTGGGAGGCCTCTTCGGTGCCTCTTGGGACGTCTTGGGGACTTCTGTTGGAGGCATCTCTGAGGCCATCTTGAGCCATCTTGACCTTCAGGAGGGCATCTAGGCCGTCGCGGAGCGGGAAAAACAGCTCCTGGAGCCCCGGCGCCGTCATGGGGGAATGGACCAAGCCCCCCGCCCGAGCCTGGAACGCCAGAACGCTGGATGAATATACCTATACGACCACCCTTCGGGTGATAAGGAGGTTGTCGGGGAGAGGGGGGGAACCAACATCTGACTCAATCGATCTCACTATCGATCTCACTCAACGGGACACCACGGGACACCACGGGACACTTGTCGATCTCACTATCGATCTCACTATCGATCTCACTCAACGGGACACCATGGAACACCACGGGCCACCACGGGACACAGCGGGACACCTCTCGATCTCACCATCGGTCTCACTATCGATCTCACTATCGATCTCACTCAACGGGACACCATAGGAAACCACGGGACACCACGGGGCACCTCGGGACACCACATCGATCTCACTATCGATCTCACTATCGATCTCACTCAACGGGACACCACGGGACACCAGGGGACCCCTGTCGATCTCACTATCGATCTCACTATCGATCTCACTTTTTGGGACACCACGGGACCCCTCTGGACACCACATCGATATCAGTATCGATCTCACTATCGATCTCACTCAACGGGACACCACGGGACACGTGTCAATATCACTATCGATCTCGCTTGTTGGGACACCACGGGGCACCTCGGGGCACCACATCGATCTCAGTATCGATCTCACTATCGATCTCACTCAACGGGACACCACGGGACACCGCGAGGGCCACCGCCGGACGGACGGACGGACGGACGGACGGACGGGGGAGAATCATTTGTCTTGGCTTCGCCCTAGCAACGGCGGACACCACGGGACACCACGGGAACCGCGGGACACCGCGAGGGCCACCGCCAGACGGACGGACGGACGGGGGAGAATCATTTGTCTTGCCTTCGCCCTAGCAGCGGCGGACACCACGGGACACCACGGGACGCCGCGGGACACCGCGAGGGCCACCGCCAGACGGACGGACGGACGGGGGAGAATCATTTGTCTCGCCTTCGCCCTAGCAACGGCGGGTTCATTCCTGTCGCGCGCCCACGCAGCTTCGCCTCGCCCGCACGCATGACACGAACGAAACGAAACGATTTCCCGGTTGGGAGTCTCCGTTCCACTGAGATCTCACCCCCCAACCTCCGTTTCTGTGTGTTTATATATATATATATATATATGTATATGTCCGCCGACCCTGTCGACGTGTGGAAGGCGCTGTCGCGGCCGTGGTCAGTTCCAAGGAAATTGAAGAACGCCTTAGTTCGCTAAAAAAGGAATCCCTTCCCCTTGATTCCTTCCCCGCCCCCTCCGTGGGGGATCCCAGGGGGCTCGGGGGGGGAGTCCCAAATCAGAATGCCGTCCCTCCCAGGGGTCTCGTGGGGTGGTCCCCCTGTGGATAAGGGGAAATCCAGCCCCCCCCTTCCCTCCCTTGTTCCCTCTGTGGACAGGGTGGACAGGGAGCGGGGACCCCCTGTGGACAGGAGAACCGTAGCAGCCTCCCCCCCCTTCCCCCTGGTTCCCACCGTGGGCAAGGGGAACTCTCAGGACCTCCGCCCCCCACCCTCCTTCTTCCTGTTCCCCCTAGCGGGTCCACCAGCCCCTCCCCCCTTCCGGACACCCTCCTCACTCTCATCTGGTGTTGCGGGGTGCTGCGTCTCTTCTTTTGCAATGTACTGCGAGGCGGCTCCAGGTCAGACAGCCCCCGCTCCATCCCCCGCCTCTGATCCCGCAAAGCCTCCGCGTCCTCCTCCCCCCCTCCTCCTCCTCCTCCCTCCTCCTCCTCCTCTCTCCTCCTCCTCCTCCTCCTCTCCTCCTCCTCCTCCCCCCCTCCTCTCCTCCTCGTCCTCCCCTCCCTCCTCCTCCTCCTCCTCCTCCTCCTCCTCCTCCTCCTCCTCCTCCTCCTCCCCCTCCTCCTCCTCCGAGCCCACTGCCCAGACACCCGACGACGTGCTCTTTTCACAACGTCGACCCC